CCAGCAGGTTGAGGCTGCGGTGGCCGGGAGCGGCCACTGCACCCCAGTCTGGGCGACAGAGTGAGACTCCAACTCAAAAAAAAAAAGTATTTTTGAGAACATCAATAAATTTGACACTAACTTTTACGTGGCAGTAAAGCGCTCTTTCTCCTCCCTCCCTCTCGCTTTCTCGAATCAGTCATCAAAATTCAATTTTGAATTCTGCATTTTGAAAAGTCAGCACAATTCAAATACATTTTGATTAAACAATGTTTTGAGACTGACTCATTTGTTCACTTTCAAATAAAGCACATTTTCTGTCCAAAATTCTGTATTTAGATAATCTATGCTCTTAGACTTTGCATATCCCAAGTAAAAGTCAGAGTGGAAGCAAAATAATTGAAACAGTTCTGTCCCCCAAAATGCCTCAATCCCTCGAATGTTTCTGATGGAAATGTTTTCAGTCCTAAATGATCTCAATAATTGCCTCAAATTACCACAACCTAATCTGTTATATCACAGATTATTAAAATAAGAAGATTCAGAAGATTCTCTTTCTTAAGTACCTCTGATTGGAAATGCATAACCAATTTTATAATAAATTGTTATAGTGTTGCTCGCTAGTTGGGTTTTTTTTCTTTTAATTTTTTTTTATTTTAAAGATGTGGGGTTCAATTCAGGGTTAGGTATACAAATGTTCATTATGCAGATACACTTGTCGATGAGGTGTGCCCCTCCTTCCCCAGGCAGATTCCCACTGCTGCCAATTCTGCTTCCCTGCTCCCCTCCCTGCAGTTTCGGGCTACCTAGTTGGTATTAATAGTCATCAAAGCTAATGTAAGTTTTGATGAGGTAAGAATTTAGCTGGTTTTTTCTTTTGTGCCTATGTATGTGAAAAATCTACCCTTTACTTATTGTTTCCAGCTTCACTGTGGTATAATTAAATAAAAATTTTTTAGAGTACATGATATTTTGATGTATGTATACATCATGAAGTGATTACCACAATCAAGTTAATTTGTGTAACATATTCATCACCTACATAGTTAATCATTTTGGGGTGAGAACACTTAAGATCTACTCTCTTAGCAAATTTCAAGTACACCATGCAGTAGTATTAACTATAGTAACCTTGCTGTACATTAGATCTCCAAAATTTATTATTCTGACTAACTGAAACTTTGTACCCTTTGACGGTCTCCCCATTCCCACCTCTCCCCTCCCCAGCCCTTGGCAACCTTGACTCTACTTTCTGCTCCTTTGAGTTCAGTTTTTTAGATTTCATGAATCAGTGAAATCAGTATCATAAAAATGAAAGATATTTGTCTTTCTGTGCCTGGCTTATTTCACTTAGCATAATGTCCTCCAGCTTCATCCATTTTGTCAAAAATGACAGGATTTCCTTCTTTTCTTAAGCTGAATAATATTCCTGTGTGTGTGTGTGTGTGTGTGTGTGTGTGTGTGTGTGTGTGTGTGTTTCACATATTCTTTGTCCATTCGTCAATGAACAATTAGATTCCATATGTTGACTATTGTGAATAATGCTGCAATAGACATGGGAGCACAGATATCTCATCCACATACTGATTTCAGATCTTTGAATATAAATTCAAAAGTGGGATTGCTGGATTATATGATAGTGTCATGTTTTATTTTTGAGGAACTACTATAGTATTTTTCATAATGGTTGTACCAAATTACATTCCTACCAACAGTGTACAACTTTCTCTTTTTTTATATCCTTGCCAACGCTTGTCATTTTTAGCATAGCCATTCTAACAGATATGAGGTATTTCACTGTGGTTCTTATTTGCATTTCCCTATATACCTGTTGGCCAACTGTATTTCTTCTTTTGAAAAATATCTATTCAGATCATTTGCCCATTTTTTAATCAGATAATTTGTCTTCTTACTACTAAGTTCGTTCCTCATAGAGTTTAGATACTAATCAGATTATTCTTATTATATTTGTTTATAATATATGTATTAACTACTTTTTAGGAAAGTCTACGAGAACACATGTGAAAAGTAGAGTTATTTAATCTTGCTGGCACTACTTTGCCAAGCAATGTAGTTGTCAAGAAAATTTGATAGATCAAAAGAGTTAATCCACTTCAATCTAACACTAGATTTTCTTATGCAAATTTGTAGCAATCTAGAAACACCACCTTATTGAGATCTGAAAATCAATTTATATGCAATTAAATTCACATCTATACATACCCTAAGTACTCTCATAATATCCCCGAGTTCTACCTACACCACTACCAAATAACCTATCCCATTCCAAAAATCTCTTTTGGAAAAGCAATGAAGATGCTCCATCTACTGGAGAGTTTTTAATATATTTTATTCCCCCTCTTTCCACTCCCTCCCCATCTAATGAAATCTAATGAAATAAAGTGCTCCATCTAAAAAATTCTAAAACTTTGATGGACATATTTATTCTAACAAATCATTTTCTGGGAAAACACTCCCATAAGACGAAAATCTCTCCTTACCTATTATTAACACTTTTGCCTCTTGATCCATCATCAAGAAACTGAAGAAATCCCATATTTAAAACTGTTTTTCATTTGAATTGCACAGTATTCCTTTTTTTTCCTTTTACTGCTAATTTCTCTAACAGGAAGCTTGTGTCTCCTACCTACAATTCCTCTCCACTCACTTCCTCATTGACCTTTTCAATTGAACTACTATCCCCATCATATTTAACTTTCTCAGATAATACAGTATTTTTATTCCAAATCTAATGGTCTTTTCTCCGTCTTATTCACCCCCTATTTCTTTTTTTCTAACTCTCTTCCATATTTGCTTCCATCAAAACTCTGCAGTCCTAACTTCTAAAACATTCCTCTCTTCTACTTCTCCCACCTCTCCTATCTGCTCCTCAGACTTCATCTTCTACTTCTCTCCTTCTCAACATCACCACGGACTCTTATCAAGGCATTTTCCTTAATTCTGCCTTTCTCTTTTGTTTGAGTCATTCATTTATAATAGCACCAGTTATCACACCTGTGTTTATAACTCTCAAATCTATACTTCCAGTCCTATCCTATTATTGGAGAACCATTCAAATATTTAGATTTACATAGTTTTCCATCAATTCCATCAATTTGGGTTTAACCTGATCTAATCCAAAATCATCTCTTCCTCTCCCTCTAATATTCCAGTCTCTGTGACACAGTAATTCTCCCAAAAATCAACACAAAAACTTGGTATCTTATATGATGCCCTTCCTCTTTCATAAATAATTATTCACAAAGTTGTGCTAATTTTTTATTTGAAATATCCTTTGTAGGCATCCAATCAACTCTATAAACAATCTTTGCAGTCAGACAGATATGAATTTAACTCCTGGTTCTGTCATTTGTTAAGTAAAGCTTTGGGATAGTTTCTAACTTAAGCTTTAATTTCTTCAAATGTAAAATAAGATTTGTAATAATTTCAACATCATAGAATGGTTATAAAGATTAAATTAAATTAAGACCCTAATATAATGTCCAACACATAGTATATAGAAAATATAGAGCCATCATAATGATAGCTCCAAATTCCAGCTATCGAATGTATGACCCTACTTACATCTTCATCATTCTAGCTTCCTTCTCTCTTGTTACAATAGTGGAGC